AAAAAGAAAAAAGCTGGAAGTGGTGCTGTGGTTCAGTAGTAGAGTGGTAGCCTTGAGCTGAAGAGCTGAGGGACAGCGCCCAGGCCCAGAGTTCAGGCCCCATGACTAGACCCCCCCCCCCAAAAAAAGAAGACAAGGCTGGAGGAGTGCCTAGCAAGTGCAAGACCCTGAATTCAACACCTTCCCTGCTTACCACAGCATAACCATATTAAGGTCCTCCTATATTTGGAATTTCATGCAATCCCAGTTACCATTAATTTCTCCACAGACAGACTGCCAAAGAAAGCTCACCACAGAATGTGTGCTACCAAAAGTAAGAAGCTAACGAGTACCTCAGTAAGAACACAGTTTAAGGAACTGCTACAAACTTGTGCAGAATTCTCTGTTCTTAAGAGCCTATACGGAAGGTGGCTCAGTGGTAGAGTGCTTGCCTTGCATGCATGAGGTCCTGGGTTCGATTCCTCAGCACCACATAAGCAAAAAGAAAACAGCCGGATGAGGCTCAAGTGGTAGAGCGCTAGCCTTGAGCTGAAGAGTTGAGGGACAGTGCCCAGGCCCAGGGTTCAGGCCCCACGACCGGACCCCCCCCCCCAAAAAAAAGAGCCTATCCACACTAGCATGTTGAATCAAAGCAGAATATATATCCATGAAGCCAGGTATGGTGCTGCATATGTAAGTCTAAATACTCAGGAGGTTGAGACAGCAATATCTTGATTCCCAGGCCAGCTTGCGCTATATTTAACAAGATTCTATACCAAAAAAAGATTTAAAAAAACCCACAAACTTTTAACAATAAGGTGACCCTGAAAGACTTGGTAACTCTTGCAACAAGCAATTTTAAAGACACACACACACACAGAATGAAATGAACAATGTCAATGCCACCCACACTCAAATGCTTTCTAAAGAAAAGTTGAAGCTGGGCACTGGTGGCTCATACCTGTAATCCTAGCTACTGAGGAGGCTGAGATCTGAGGATCACTGTTCAAAGCCAGACCAGGCAGGAAAGTCCATGAGATTCGAATTATCTCCAATTAACCACCAGAAAAATGGACACTATGGCTAAAGTTGTAGCCTTGAGCTAAAGAGCTCAGGGACAGCACCCAGGAAGGAGCTCAGGCCCCACAACTGACAAAGCAAAACAAAACAAAAACAAACAACAACAACAACAAACAGCATTAGTGACTCACACCTGCAATCCTAGCTACTTAGGAGGCTGAGATCTGAGTATTGGTTCAAAAACAGCCCCGGCAGGAAAGTCCATGAGAATCCAATTATCTCCAATAAACCACTCAGACAACTGGAAGGGGCACTGTAGCACAAGTGATAGAGCTCTCGCCTATAGCTTAAGAGCTGAGGGAAAGCACCCAGGCCCAGAGTTCAAGCCCCATGACAGACAAAAAAAAAAAAAGAGAGAGACAGAGACAGAAAGACAGACAGGCAGAAGGAAGGAAAGAAAGAGAGAGAGAGAGAGAGAGAGGGAGGGAGGGAGGGAGAGAGGGAGGGAGGAAGGAAGGAGGAAAGAAAAAAAGAAAGAGAAAGAGGAAAAGAAGGAAAGAAAAAGTTGGAGCTAGCTGGTGGCTCATGCCTGTAATCTTAGCAACTCAGGAGTCTGAGATTTGAGGACTGGGGTTGAAAGAAAGTCCAGCCTGGGCAGAAAAGTCCCTGTGGCACATCTCCAATTCACCACTCAAAAACCAAAAGTAGAGCTGTGGCTCAAAGTGCTAGAGCACTAGCCTTGAGCAAAAAGAGCTCAGGGGCAGAGCCCAGGCCAGGGGTTCAAGTTCAACCAACAAAAATAAAAACAAAAAAGAAAGAAAAAGAAAAGTTAAGGCCAGATGCTAGTGGCTCACCCCTATAATCCTAGCTGTTTAGGAGGCTGAGATCTGAGTATCAAGGTTCAAAGCCAGCCCAGGCAGTAAAGTCTGAGTGACTCTTTATATCCAAGTAACCACTGGAAAAGATGGAGGTGGAGCTCTAGCTCAGGTGGCAGAGTGCTAGCCTTGAGCAAAAAAGCTCAGGGATAGCACACAGGCCCTTATTTTAAATCCCAAGACTAGCAACAACAAGAACAAGACACAAAAAAACAAAAAAACAAGAAGGAGGAGAAAAAAAGAGAAAAACCTGTACTTAAATAAGCCTAAGTGGGCTGAAAAGGTGGCTCAGTGGTAGAGTGCTTGCCTTGCATGCATGAGGCCCTAGGTTCGAGTCCTCAGCACCACGTAAGCAGAAAAAGCTGGAAGTGGCGCTGTGGCTCAAGTGGTAGAGTGCTAGCCTTGAGCAGAAGAGCAGCACCCAGGCCCAGAGTTCAAGTCCCACAATGGTGAGGGGGGAGGGGCAGAGCCTGATTAAGGAAACATTCTTGTGCGGGGTGCCCAGTGGCTCCCACCTGTAATCCTAGCTACTCAGGAGGCTGAGATCTGAGGATCTCGGTTCAAAGTCAGTCCAGGCAACAAAGTCCGTGAGACTCTTATCTCCAATAAACCACTAGAAAACCTGAAGTGGCGCTGTGGCTCAAGCGGTAGAGCGCTGGCATTGAGCTGAAGAGTTCAGGGATAGTGCCTAGGCCCAGAGTTCAAGCCTTACGACCAACCAAATAAAATAAAAATAAAATAAAATAGTAAGAATTAGCATAAATGAGAAACCACAGGAAAACATACTTGTCTTCTTATTACAAAAAGCAGGTGGTAAAAAAAACCAAAAAAGCAGGTGGTGCCTGATGGTATTCCCACTGGAGAACTAAGACAGTAAGAGGATCTTGAGTTCCAGACTAGTCTGGGCTATAGAGCAAGATTGTCTTTGGAAAAAAAAAAAGGGGGGGTGGGGGTGGGGGTCGGTGTTGGTGGAGAAGGTGCTGGTGGCTTTCACCTGTAATCCTAGCTCCTCAGGAGGATGAGATCTGAGGACTGTGGTTCAAAGCCAGCCTGGGCAGAAAAGTCCATGGTACTTATCTCCAATAAACTTCTCAGACAAAGCCAGAAGTGGCACTGTGGCTCAAGTGGTAGAATGCCAGCCTTAAGTGAAAAGCCTAAGGGATGGCTGCTCCCAGGTCTTGAGTTCAAGCCCCAGTACAAACACAGACACACAGACACACACACACACAAGAAAGAAAGAAAGAAAGAAAGAAAGAAAGAAAGAAAGAAAGAAAGAAAGAAAGAAAGAAAGAAAGAAAGAAAGAAAGAAAGAAAGAAAGAAAGAAAGAAAGAAGGAAGGAAGGAAGGAAGGAAGGAAGGAAGGAAAGAAGGAAGGAAAAAACAAAAAGAGGAAGAAAAAAAATAAAGGAGGGCTGGGAATGTGGCTTAGTGGTAGATCGCTTGCCTAGCATGCATGAAGCCCTGGATTTAATTTCTCAGTAGCACATTAACAGAAAAGGCTGGAAGTGATGCTGTGGCTCAAGTGGTAGTTGGTAGCCTTGAGCTGAAGAGCTCAGGGACAGCACCCAGGCCCAGAGTTCAAGCCCCATGAAAAAAAAAAAAAAGGAGACCATTTTATTTTTGTTTCTCTAACTGGCAAATTAAAAATAAAAACAAAAATATGTGGGGCTGGGAATGTGGCTTAGTGGTAGAGTGCTTGCCTAGCATGCATGAAGCCCTGGGTTCGATTCCTCAGTACCACATAAACAGAAAAGGCCAGAAGTGGTGTTGTGGCTCAAGTGGTAGACTGCTAGCCTTGAGCAAAGAGAAGCTCAGGTACAGTGCCCAAGCACTGAGTTCAAGCCCTAGGACTGGCAAAAAAAAAAAAAAAGCTATACTTGTGCCTGGACTGGCCTCCATGTATGATCCTCCCAATCTCATCCTCCTGATTAGCTAAGACTATAACCTTAAGCCACTATGCCTGGCATTATATGCCAATTCTGAAATGGAGTTATTAGTGTATATTTAACAGCATGGCACATAATTGAGACTTACTTACTTTAAAATAGTAGGCAAAGTTCATTAATAATCCTAAGATAAACAAATGACAAAGTGCTATCCTGTCCCTCAAAATTCACTTTTCAACCTAGAAAGAAAATACTAGTAAATCAAATAGAAAACAAAATTGTAAATAGCAAATTTAGCAACAAAAACACCCCAAGAAGTAGAATACCTTTTTCTAAAAAAAATGAGTTGGTTCACTATGAGAAAAACTATTAAATGCAAATAGAACAAAAAGACTAAAGAAAAATGTTTTATTTTCATGGTCAATAATTACTTACCTGACTGAGTGGGATACCGTTTCCTTTGTCCAGCTCACATTTCAAGATGTCAGTGGAAAGACTGATTCCTCCAAATCCTGCAAGCCAAATTTAGGGATAGATAGAGAAAATTATCAAAAACCAGGCCCCTACTACCTTGTCTTTGGAACAGTGGTTTTAGCTAAACATTCACTTAAGGGCTTAAACAAGGTAGAGGACATGCTGGTGGAGAATGCAAACATAGGAGCTCTGAACAAGAAAATAAAATAAAGATAATGACACATCACAGTCATGAAAAAAGATCTATGGCTGGATGCCTGTGGTTCACATCTGTAATTCTAGCAACTCAGGATGCTGAGATCTGAGGATTGCAGATCAAAGCCAGCTTGGGCAGGAAAGTCTGTGAAACTCCTTTTATGCATAATCATAAAACAATCATAAGGAAACAAAAGAATAGAAATCTGCTGTGTGTATCACACATCCTGGATAAATGCCAACAATGCCACAACAAAAAGAATGTCAACATTTTTTTGTGCCCATCCTGGGATTTGAACTTAGGGCCTAGGCACTGTCCCTGAACTGTTGTGCTCAAGGCTAGCAATCTACCACTTGAGGCACAGTCTTACTTCCAGCTTTTTTGATTAATTGAATTAGTTAATTGAATTTAGTTAATTAAAGAATCTCCTGAGGGGGCAGGCACAGGTGGCTCATGCCTATAATCCTAGCTAATAAGGAGGCTAAGATCTGAAGATCACGGTTCAAAGCCAGACAGAGAAAGAAAACCCGTGAGACTCTTGTTTTGTTTTGTTTTTGCCAGTCCTGGGGCTTGAACTCAGGGCCTGGGCACTATCCCTGAGCTTCTTTTGCTCAAGGTTAGCGCCATACCACTAGAACCACAATACCACTTCCGGCTTTTTCTGTTTATGTGGTACTGAGGAATCGAACCCATGCATGCTAGGCAAGCACTATACCACTAAGCCACATTCCCAGCCCTCCATAAGACTCTTATCTCCAATAAACTACCAGAAAACCAGAAGTAGCGCCGTGGCTCAAGTGGTAGAGTGCTAACCTTGAGCTGAAGAGCTGAGGGATAGCACCCAGGCCCAGAGTTAAAGCCCCACAACCTTAAAAAATAAAAAATTAAAAAAATTCATTTTTTTGTTTTGTTTTGTTTTTTTGCCTACACTAGCTTCCAACTGCAAGCTTCATATCAACCTCCTAAACAGCTAGGAATATAGGCATGAGCCTTTGGTGCCTAGTTAAGATCTTAACTTATAAAAAAAAATTTTTTTGCCAGTCCTGGGAATTGAACTCAAAGCCTAGGCACTGTTCCTGAGGCTCTCTGTGTTCAAGGCTAGTAGTATTCTACCACTGGAGTCACAGTGCCACTTCTGGACCTTTAACTTTTAACTGAGAAATGTAATAACAGCTTGAGGACTTATCTAAAGAGGAAACGAATTAGAAACAGATGAGCCTATGACAAAAAAGATGAACAGTGTGACATGTAAGACAGGAAAGAAGCCTGTAATCCTAGCTACTCAGGAGGCTGAGTCAGAGGATCACAGTTCAAAGCCAGCAGCAGAAAAGTCCTTGAGTCTCTTATCCCAATTAATCTCCAGAAAATAGGAAGTGGAGCTGTGGTTCAAAGAGGTAGAAAGAAAGCCTTGAGCACAAAAAAGCTCTGAACAGCACCCAGTCTCTCCAGTTCAAGCTCCAGGAATGAGGGGGGCGGGGGGAAGGGAAGCTTAGGGACAGAGTCCAGGTCCTGAGTTCAAGCTGCAGGACCAGTTTTTTAAAAAGCTAAGAAAGGTTGTAAAGGAAATGCAAATAAAGACAACCCTAATATACCACCTTACCCCAGTCAGAATGGCCCACATCCTAAAGTCAGCCAATGACAAATGTTGGAGGAGATGCAGACAAAGAGAAACCCTATTACACTGCTGATGGGAATGAACACTAATACAACCACTTTGGAAAGCAATCTGGAGGGTCCTCAGAAAGCTAAATATTGACCTCCCCTATGACCCAGCTATACCACTCCTAGGCATCTATCCTGAACAACAGAAACTGGGATACAAGGACACATGCACCTCCATGTTCATTGCAGCACTGTTTACAATAGCCAGGATATGGAAACAACCCAGATGCCCCCCCCAGATGAATGGATCCAAAAATTGTGGTACCTATACACAATGGAATATTGTGCAGCCATTAGAAAGGATAAAATAATGATATTTGCAGGGAAATGAATGGAACTAGAAAAAATCATGTTGAGTGAGGTAAGCCAAGAGCAAAGAGACAAACAGCACATGGTCTCCCTGATAAGTGGATGTTAAACTCAAAACGTAAGGTGATATGACAAAGTAAACAAGACTTGAGAAACAAAGGACCTCCACTCATATGGCCCAATCATTACTAAATGACCACATGCTGATCACATATATGGTACATATGTGTACATCGGAGGGAAACTAGGAGGAGGACACAGAAACAGAGGTTAACAGGGGAAAACATACAACAGTGGTACCCATCAGCTGCACTGGTAATTGTTCAAAACGAACTAAACAACTCAATGGCGTCGATGGGAGGGAGGGAGGAAATGAGCAGGAAAGAGGAAATAGTTGACACTAAGCAAAAGGAAAGAAATGTACCTGATGTGGAAGAAATAACTTGTCAAAGCTCATAGACCTGGTAAACTTTATAGACCACGATAAAGACAATTTGCCCCATGAGAGTTAGAATGTGTTTGTGACTGTAAGTAAGCATCACTGTCCCACAATACTGTGAAATTTATGTATTCACTTAATCACAATAAAAAATTGCAAAAAAAAGAAATGTATTCATATAACTGTAACCCCTCTGTACATCACCTTTATAATAACAATGAAAATAAGTAAGAAAAAAAAAGCTAAGAGACAGGTTCTAGATTCTGAGTTCAAGCCCCACAAATGACATTTAATAAAAACAACAACAAGGGCCAAACAGAGCCAGGCACCTGCCTCTAATCCTAGCTACTTAAGAAGCCGAGATCTGAGGATCATGGTTCAAAACCAGCCTGGGCAGCAAAGTCCTTGAAATTCTTATCCCCAGTAAACCACCAGAAAGCCGGAAGTGGCACTGTGGCTCAAGTGGTAGAGTGCTATCCTGGAACTGAAGAACTAAGGGACTGTGCCCAGGCCCAGAGTTCAAGCCCTACTACTGACAAAAAAAAAAAAAAAAGGAAAAGAAAAAAGGCCAAACAGCATAGCTTGTGTGCCTCACTCCTATTAATCCTAGGTACTCAGGAGGCTGAGATCCTCAGGAGCAAGGTTTGATGCTCAATACCACAAAAAAAAAAAAAAAAAAAAGAATGGTGATTGGGGGTGTAGCTCAGTGGTAATGAAGAATCCTATAAGAGGATAAGCATGTGAGGAAAGGGAAAGGAAAAAGCAAAGGGAAAGGAAGACATGGAGGCATATCAGTTGGTAAGGTATGTGCTTAGCAGGAATGAGATTCTAGATTCAACTCCAAGCACCATAAAAAATAAGAAAGGTCCTGGTGATGGTGGCTCACATCAGTAATTCTAGCTACCCAGGAGGCTGAGATTTGAGGGGGGAAAAAGAAAAGAAAATGGGAACATTAGCCAGGTGCCGGTGGCTCACACCTATAATCCTAGCTATTTAGGAGACTGAGATCCGAGGATCACGGTTCAAAGCCAGCCCAAGCAGGAAAGTCCGTGAAACTCTTATTTCCATTAAACCACCAGAGAACTGGAAGTGGCGCTGGGGCTCAAGCACTCGCCTTGAGCTGAAGAGCGCAGGGACAGTGCTCAAGCCCAGAGTTCAAGCCCCATGACTGACAAAAAAAAGAAAGAAAATGGGAGCATGAATTATACTTTTAAGTACCAACTCTACCACTAGTTAGCCAAGTGATAGTGTTAGTCACTTATCTAGCGTTGGAACAAAATAATTGGCACAAACAGGTTAAAAGGAAAAAAGATTTAGGTATCACAGTTTCAGAAGTTTCAGCTCAAGCTGTCTGTCCCTTTTGACCTATGTTAAGCTACAAGGAAGAGCAGAGCAGAGCTGCCTGTATCAGTCACTTTTCCAATAGTGGAATGAAATTACCATTATAAGCAAGTTAAAAGGAGAAAAGAAAAATTTCTAAATTGAAAAAAAAAAAGGAGAAAAGAAAATCAGTGGGTGGTGGCTCACAGCTGTAATCCTAGCTACTCAGGAGGCTGAGGTCTGAGGATCTTGGGCATTTTTTTTTCCAGTCTGACACTTTCACTCAGGGCCTAAGCACTGTCCTTGAGCTTTTGCGCTGGAGGCTAGAGCTCTGTACCAATTGAGTCACACTTTGTCTTCCAACTTTTGGGTTAATTAATTAAAGATAAGAGTTTGTAGACGTTGCTACTGGGACTGGTTTTTGAACCTCAATCATCATAAGATCTCAGCCTCCTGAGTAGCTAGGATTACAGGGGTGAGCTACAAGTGCACAGTTTCTTCTTCTTCTTCTTCCTCCTGCTCCTCCTCCTCTTCTTCTTCTTCTTCTTCTCCTTCCTCTTCCTCCTCCTCCTTTTTCATTTTCATTTTTGGTTGTTAATTGGAGATTGACCCGAGGTGGATTTGAACCGTGATCCTCAGATCTCAGTCCTCTGAGTAGTTAGGATTATAGGAATAAGCCACTAGTAGCTGGCTTTTTTTTTTTTGTTTCGGTTTGCTTTTGTCATCCTGGGGCTTGAACTCAGGGCCTGGGCACTGTATCTGGGCTTCTTTTGCTCAAGGCTAGAACTCTATAAGTTGAACCAAAGCTCCACTTCTGACCTTTTCTGTTTATGTGGTACTGAGGAATTGAACCCAGGGCTTCATACTAGGCAAGCACTCTACCACTAAGCCACATTCCCAGCCCTTGAGGATCAATTTTATTAATATCTCTAAACTTCCTCCACAAAGTCCTATCTCAAAAAGATTCTATCACCTCCCAACAGCATTACACTTGGGAACCAAACCTTTACCACATGGGGCTTTGGGAGACATTTAAGACTTAAAAGAAGCAGTGTATGCCCCTGTAGTAGCAACACAGGGGAGGATGAGGCAAGTTAATCAAATAAGATCAAGAGTTTGAGACCACCCTGGATAATATAGAAACAACAACCTAGTATCTAGCTTATACAAGGCCCTAGATAGGATCTGAAGCACCACAAAACAACAATAATCCAAACCACAACAGTAAAATGTACTTCTCTGGTAAAGCTATTTATGCATTCTAAGACTCATTTTTAAAATCAGATGGGGGGCTGGGAAGGTGGCTAAGTGGTAGAGTGCTTGCCTTGCATGCACGAGGCCCTGGGTTCGATTCCTCAGCACCACATAAGCAGAAAAAGCCGGATGTGGTGCTGTGGCTCAAGTGGTAGAGCACTAGCCTTGAGCTGAAGAGCTGAGGGACAGCGCCCAGGCCCAGAGTTCAGGCCTCATGACCGGCAGAAAAAAGTAAATTTAAAAAATAAAATAAAATAATAAGATGGAAACTGACTCTGGTTTTTGGTAAAGATTCGGTGAGAGAGAGCACACAGTGTGAGAACTCATAGTAGATGCTCAATAAAAAGCATCAAATAAATAAGCTAAGCATCTCATATTGCCCTGAGAACAAAAGAAAATAGAAAATGGAAAAATAGTGCTGGAAGCCAGTGGCTCATGCCTATAATCCTAACTACTAAGGAGGCTGATATCTGAGATTCACGATTCAAAGCCAGCCAGGGAAGGAAAGTCAGTGATACTTTTTTTTTTTTTGGGTCCAGTCGTGGGGCCTGAACTCTGGGCCTGGGCACTGTCCCTCAGCTCTTCAGCTCAAGGCAAGCGCTCTACCACTTGAGCCACAGCACCACTTCTGGCTTTTTTTTTCTTTTTGCTTATGTGGTGCTGAGGAATCGAACCCAGGGCCTCATGCATGCAACAAAATACCAGAAAACCGGAAGTGGTGCTTGTGGCTCAAATGGTGGAGCACTTGCCTTGAACTGAAGAGTTGAGGGACAGCACACAGGCCCAGAGTTCAAGGCCCATGACCCACAAAAAAAAGAAAGAAAGAGAGAGAACGTTTTAACGTAGCTTTTCTCCAGAAAGGTTAAAACTTCTATAGAAATGACAGAGGAAGCTGGGCAGCCAAGGCAGGAAAGTCTGTGAGACTCTTATCTCCAATTAACCACAAGAAAACCAGAAGTGGTGCTGTGGCTCAAGTGGTAGAGCACTCGCCTTGAACTGAAGGCTCAGAGACAGTGCAAGGGACCAGAGTTCAAGCCCCATGACTGACAAAAAAAAAGAGAAAAGAAATGACAGAGGAGTGAAGTACATTAAAATCAGGGTACAGGCTGGGAATGTGGCATAGTGGTAGAGTGCTTGCCTAGCATGCATGAAGCCCTGGGTTCGATTCCTAAGTACTACATAACAGAAAAAGCCAGAAGGGGCACTGTGGCTTAAGTGGTATAGTGCTAGCCCTAAGCAAAAGAAGTTCAGGGACAGTGCCAGGCTGAATTCAAGCCCTAGGACTAGCAAAAAAATAAAATAAAATAAAGGTACAATTAACATAAGCTACTAAATATGAAATGAAGGGAAAATTTTAAAAAGAAAACATAAGTTACAATTTTCTGGATACTTATGAATGAATAAAGTTTTCGAAGTCAATCTGAAAAGAACAAAGAAATAGGGGAATCTAGCCGCGAGCCAGTGGCTCATGCCTATAAAAGTAGCTACTAAGAAGGCTGAGATCTAAGGATCAAAGCCAGCCCAGGCAGCAAAGTCTATGAGACTCTTATCTCCAATAAACCACGAGAAAACCAGAAGTGGCACTGTGGCTCAAGTGGTAGAGCACTAGCCTTGAGCTGAAGAGCTGAGGGACAGCTCCCAAGCCCAGAGTTCAAGCCCCACGACTGACAAAAAGAAAGAAAGAAAGAAAGAAATGGAAGAATCATAGAGAATAAATGAGTTAACTACAACAAAACATATAACATATAGTTCCTTCTGTATGCATAGCCCACTTTGTGAATATTCTGTCTTGGTGAATTTAATGTTAGGAAAAAAGAAATTCAGAAGCAAACTGATTCCATTTATTTTTTCTAGATTCAGCTATAAAGGAAAGTTCCACAGTAACAAAATGGGAGAATCTGTAGACACATTACACTTAACCTATGCTAGAAGTTGGCAAACTTTCTATAAAGAGCCAGTTGGTAATATTTTTAGGCCCTAGTCTGTATCAACTACTTAACTACACTGTAGTACAAAAGACAATAAGGAAGACTGTGTTCTAATAAAATCTCACAAAAGGGGCTGGGAAGGTGGCTCAGTGGTAGAGCGCTTGCCTTGCATGCCAGAGGCCATGAGTTTGATTCCTCAGCACCACATAAGAAAAAAGCCAGAAGTGGTGCTGTGGTTCAAGTGGTAGAGCGCTAGCCTTGAGCTGAAGAGCTGAGGGACAGCGCCCAGGCCCAGAGTTCAGGCCCCACGACTGGACGAAAAAAAAAAAAAACTCACAAAAATAGGAATTTAGGGGCTGGTAATGTAGCTGAATGGTAGAGTACACACTTAGTATGAAGCTTTGAGTTCAATTCACAGCATCAAAACCAAATCAAAACAGGAGCATATGCTACCTACTTACTTGAGTTACCCTTCCACCCCTCCACTTCCCCACTTCACTTCTGATTTTCTTTTTGGTTGGTCATGGGGCTTGAACTCGGGGCCTATGTACTGTCCCTGAGCTCTCTTGCTCAAGGCTAGTGCTCTACCACTTTGAGCTACAGTATCACTTCTGGATTTCTGGTGATTAATTGGTGATAAGAGTTTCATCACCTTTCCTGTCTAAGCTGGCTCTGAACCATGTTCCTCAGATCTTAGCCTCCTGAGTCGATAGGATTACAGGCATGAGCCACTGGCACCCAGCTCCATTTCTGATTCTCAGCAGTGGTTTGCACAGACTAGCTCACCTCCCAACTTATTTCTGAAGAGGATCTATGATAGAGTAGGTTGTAGGCTCTAAAACTACTGGCCTGTCACTTGTGTTCTGGAAATGGCATTTCTAAGAGCCTGCCTGACAGGAGCCAAGGGGAGAGCCAGCCTTTCCTCCCCTACTTACCTTATTCACTGTGTTACCTTAATCACTGAGAAGATTCCCCTCCTCTTCTGCTGTGCACTCTCTCACAAAGATCTGACAGATTTGGTGTCTTCACAGAGCCAGAGATAAGGCTGAATGGTAGAGTGCTCATCTACTATTGACAAGGCCGAAAGTTTGATACACAGCACTACATATGCAGAAACAAACAGAAACAATTGAACAAAAACTGCTATCTTCCACCAGGAACTGGTGGCTCACACCTGTAATCCTAACTACTCAGGAGGCTGAGTTCTGAGGATTGCAGTTCAATGCCAACCCTGGCAGGATAGTCCCGTGAGACTCTTATTTCCAATTAACCACCAGAAACCGAAGTGGTGCTGTGGATCAAAATGGTAAGTGCTAGCTTTGAGCAAAAGAACTCAGGGATAAAACAACACGCAGGCCCCAAGTTCAAGCTCCACAATCAACAACAAAAAACTTGATAATTTCCATAATCCAGACTACTGAGGACATCATCTATGACCTTTTCCACACTTAGTATTGAAAGATTGGTGGGTATTACAAGAATGAGTAGAGCGGGGCAGATGGAGGGGTGGCTCAGTGGTAGAGCGCTTGCCTTGCATGCATGAGGTCCTGGATTCAATTCCTCAGCACCACATAAGCAGAAAAAAGCCAGAAGTGGTGCTGTGGTTCAAGTGGTAGAGCAGTAGCCTTGAGCTAAAGAGCTGAGGGACAGCGCCCAGGTCCAGAGTTCAGACCCCAGGACTGGAAAAAGTAAGTGACTGGGAAGAAAGAAAAAACATGTTGTTGCTTAGTTTAATATCAACATTTTTCTGTTTTTTGTTTTGTTTGGTTTTGCCAGTCCTTGGTCTTGAACTCGGAGGCCTGGGCACTGTGCCTGAGCCTCTCTGTGCTCAAGACTAATGGCCTACCACACCACTTCCGGCTTTTTTATTTATGTGGTATTGAGGAATCAAACCCAGAGCTTCATGCATACTAGGCAAACATTCTACCACTAAGCCAAATTCCCAGCCCTAACATAATCATTTTTAATATAAAGTTTCACATCATTTTACCATGTTCACATGGTAAAAGAAAATCTACTAACATGATACATTTACTAGTTATTTATTTCTTTGCCCAACTTCATAAGCATGAAAGGTCCATAATAGCAGGACTTTGTAAGTGTATAGAAAGGGCTCCAGCACTAAGTAGGTGTTTAATAACTATCTGCTGAAAGAAGACTAGTGCCACATGGCAATCATTTTCCCTTTTCTTCTCTACCAGGCTACTGGGGAACCGCGTTGAAAGTATTAACAAAGCCGGACACCGGTGGCTCACGCCTGTAACCCTAGCTACTCAGGAGGCTGAGATCTGAGGATTTCAGCTCAAAGCCAGCCCAGGCAGGAAAGTCCTTGAGACTCTTATCTCCAGAAAACCAGGGGTGGCACTGTGGCTCAAGTGGTAGAGCACTAGCCTTGAGCTGAAGACCTCAGGGGCAGCACCCAGACCCAGAGTTCAAGACCCATGACTGACAAAAAAAAAAAAGTGGGGCTGGGAAGGTGGCTCAGTGGTAGAGCGCTTGCCTTGCATGCATGAGGCCCTGGGTTTGATTCCTCAGCACCACATAAGCAAAAAGAAAAAAGCTGGAAGTGGCACTGTGGCTCGAGTGGTAGAGCGCTCGTCTTGAGCTGAAGAGCTGAGGGACAGCACCCAGACGCAGAGTTCAGGCCCTACGACCGGACCCAAAAACAAAAACAAAAAACAAGTATGAACAACTTACCAAGGTTTCCGAGTTGCTTTACAAGGACATCCACAGCAACAGTGATTCATCCTGGAGCACTGGTGAACTTTCTGAGTCAGAAGCCTTAGTGAAAAGAACAGGAAGATCTTAAAAACTACTCTTAAATCAATAAAAAGGCTTTTTGCTACACAGGAATCCACATGTTCTACAAACACCCTAGGTGATTTTATGCAAAATAAAATGTTACAGCACGGAAACTTCCATTATCAGAAGTACTCAAAAGCTATTGTAAAAAAATAAATTAGCATTAAAAAATCATTCTGAAGCCGGGCGCTGGTGGCTCACGCCTGTAATCCTAGCTACTCAGGAGGCTGAGATCTGAGGATCGCGGTTCAAAGCCAGCCTGGGCAGGAGAGACCGTGAGACTCTTATCTCCAATAAACCACCAGAAAACCGGAAGTGGCGCTGTAGCTCAAGTGGTAGAGCGCTCGCCTTGAGCTGACGAGCTGAGGGACAGCGCTCAGGCCCAGAGTTCAAGCCCCATGACCGACCAAAAAAAAAAAAAAATCATTCTGAGCTGGGAGCCAGTAGCTCACACCTGCAATCTTGGCTACTCAGGAGGCTGAGGATCAGGGTTCGAAGCCAGCCCAGGCAGAAAAGTCCCTGAGAGACTCTTGTCTCAAAAACCGGAGGTTGGGGGCTGGGAAGGTGGCTCAGTGGTAGGGCGCTTGCCTTGCATGCATGAGGCCCTGGGTCCGATTCCTCAGCACCACATAAGCAAAAAGAAAAAAGCCCGAAGTGGTGTTGTGGCTCAAGAGGTAGAGCGCTAGCCTTGAGCTGAAGAGCGGAGGGACAGCGCCCAGGCCCAGAGTTCAGGCCCCATGACCAGACTCAAAAAAAAACAAACCAGAAGTGGCTCTGTGGCTCAAAATGGTAAGAGTACTAGCCTGGAGTGAAGTAGCTTAAGGACAGTGCCTAGGCCCTGAGTTTAAGCCCCATGACTGACAAAAAAAATTAATTCTGGTCTTACATAGCCTCCTTCGACTTGGATAGAATATAGATGAGGCACTGGGTAGAAGACAAAAGTATTACCTTAGATTCAAATCCATTTGCTACTCCTAAGTAGCTATAATTTTGGGTGCTTTCCACATCTCTCACTTTTACAAAAATGGGAGAATGGGAAAAGGAGGTTAGGTCCTAAAGATCCTAAGGATAAGCCAGATGCTGGTGGCTCATCTCTGTAATTTCAGCAACTCAGGAGGTTGAGAGCTGAGAATGGAGCCCTAGTACTTGTGGCTCATGCCTGTTCTAACTATTCAGGAGGCTGAGATCTGAGGATTGTGGTTCAAAGCCATCTGGGACAGGAAAGCCATGAGACTCTTATTTCTAATTAACCACCAGAAAAACCAGAAGTGGTTCAAAGAGTTAGCACACTAGCCTTGAACAAAAAAGCTCCAGGACAGTGCCCAGGACCAGAGTTCAAGCCTCATGACCACCACCAACAACAAAAAGAACATAATGATGATGCTAATGTGAAATTTGAGGTTGGATAAATGGCTGAAAGTGAAGGAGTACCTCAAGTGGTAGAACACTGGTTATGAACAAAAATGTGAATAAGAAATGGAGGCCTTGCCACTCATGGCCTTTGTCAGAAGCCAGTTCAAAGCCAGCCTGAGCTGCATAATAAAATTCTCTCTTGCCTCAGTCAGTAGAGTGCCAGCCAAAGAACAAAAGCATTAGATATCAAACCAAGTTCAAATCCTAATCTTGGACCTAAAAAAGAAAAAAAAAAAGATTCTTTTTCAAAAGGGGGGGGGGGCGGGCGCTGGTGGCTCATGCCTGTAATCCTAGCTTTACTCAGGAGGCTGAGTCTGAGGATCGCAGTTCAAAGCCAGCCCGGGCAAGAGAGACCGTGAGACTCCTATCTCCAATAAACCACCAGAAAACCAGAAGTGGCACTGAGGCTCAAGTGGTAGAGCACTAGCCTTGAGCTGAAGAGCTGAGGGACAGTGCCCAGGCCCAGAGTTCAGGCCCCATGACCGGACCTCCAAAAAATATATTTTTTTTTTCTTTCCAGCTATCTCAGTTTACTTGAGCTAATCAATTTCATTCCTTTCATTTTCCTTCAAATGTCATTAAGTCCATTCCTTGAGCAACTAAAGCTGCTACTTACTACTATTACACCAAAATATGCACCCCTGCAAGCGGTTTCTGCCACAAGCAATTGTAATTACTTAATCCCTGAGGGACATAGGTGGGAAAGGTATGTGGACAGACCTAATTGGGCAATAAGTAAGGACAAACTCTAATCTGTGAAATGCCTGCATAAAGAGGGAGTGGGGTGTGGGGGAATGTAGTGGTACATTCTCTAAAAATAATCTCTTTTTCCACTACTCCCTTCAAAAATAATCTTTTTCCACCAATCCCTTCCCCCACCTCAACCAGCTTGCCAAAACTAAATTAGTTCAACTTCAATCCCTTCATATTCCCATTTACCCTGTCTTGGTTCAGGAATGCTTTCAATGTTTTTCTGTTTGTTTATTTGGGGTTGGGAGGAGATGCTGGTACTAGGGCTTGAACTCAGGACCTGTCTTTGTCTCAAGTTTTTCACTCAAGGCTGGCACTTGAGCCCCAGTTCCACATTTGGCTTTTTTGAGGTTAACTAAGAGTAACAGTCTCATGGACTTTCTTGTCTTGGCTAGTTTTGAACTATGATCCTCAGATCTCAGGCTCCTGAATAGCAAGGATTACTGGCATGAGTCACCTGTGCCTAGCTTCTAAGTGTTTTTACATATCCATAAACACATATTTGATAATATATCTCCAGAAATCAATAGAAAACTTTATTACAACAATGGAGGAGGTAACAATGCTTATAAGAAATGTACTCATTACCTTGCCCATGTAATTGTAACCCCTCTGTATGGTATTTTCACAATAAAAAAAAAAGAAAGAAAACTTTATTACTAAGAGAATTATAAAGTTGTACTTGACCAGATCTCTACCTTGAGCTTAAATCACAGGAGTGAGACACAAAGAGGTTCATGATGAACATTCCAGTGGTGCCTACTTGAAAACATGACTGTTATTAACAAAAACAAACCACCAAAAGACTAATGACAATTGTCCAAATTAAAGATCCATGTAGCAGAATTCCAAAGTTATACTAAAGCATATCACCTTATTGGCATTATGACTTTGTGGTTTTTCCTTTATCATCTCAAAAATCCAAGTAGAAGTTGCTCAGAAAACCATTTGCTCCCCATACCACAGACTTGAATATTCCAAGCAGTTTAAGACAATGAGCTGGTAAGTTGGTATCTCCATCTGTCCTTCGTCCACCTATTTCTCATAAATAACTATTATTTGCAGCCATTTTCTTCCAAAACCAAAATGGCTCCTCTCTCTGAGATTCTCGTTTCCTGTTCATTCCAGGTTAGATATGCTTATACAAACTTACTAGGATGACATTCAACCTCAACTTGGAAGATAGAGGCAAGAATCAAAAGAAACCATTTTGTAGCACCATGATGATGAATCAATTGTGGCTCAGTGGTAGAGCACTTGCCTTGCATGCTTGAGCACCACATAAGCAAAAAGAAAAAAGCCAGAAGTGGCGCTGTGTCTCAAGTGGTAGAGCGCTAGCCTTGAGCTGAAGAGCTGAGGGACAGTGCCCAGGCCCAGAGTTCAGGCCGCACGACAGGACCCCCCCCCAAAAAAAAGAATCAAAAGAAACCATTTTGTAGCACCATGATGATGAATCAATCTGATACATACAAGATTTAAACAGATGAGGACAGAAAGATTTTTAGAATCTATCCAATAAAGATGAGAAAGATGAGTTAAGGGGTTGGAAGTATGGCTCAGTTGGTAGAGCAGTAACCAATGAGCAAAAGGGTCAGGTACTGAATGAGAAAGAAAGAAAGGAAGGAAGGAAGGAAGGGAGGAAGGGAGGGAGGGAGGGAGGGAGGGAAGAAGAAAGACAGAAAGAAAGAAAGAAAGAAAGAAAGAAAGAAAGAAAGAAAGAAAGAAAGAATGAAAGAACGAAAAAGAAAGAAAGAAGGAAAGAAAGAAAGAGGGGGGAAGCCAGGTGCTGGTAGCTCACTCCTGTAATCATAGCTCCTCAGGAGGTTGAGATCTAAGGACCGCGGTTTGAAGCCAGTGGGGACAAGAAAGTCCCTGACACTTTTTTTCATTTGGTCAGCCATGGGGCTTGAACTCTGGGCCTGAGGGCTCTCTCAGCTCTTCAGCTCAAGGCTAGGGCTCTACCAATTGAGCCACAGCCCCACTTTCAGCTTTTTCTGTTTATGTGGTGCTGAGAATCAAACCCAGGGCCTCATGCATGCAATGCAAGCACTCTAGCACTGAGCCACCTTCTCAGGCCCCTCCCCACCCACCCCCACACTTATCTCCAGTTTACCCCCAGAAAACCGGAAGTGGCACAGTGGCACTGTGGTGCAAAGTGGTAGAGTGTTTGACTTGAGCAGTAAAGCTCAGGGACAGCACCCAGTCCCTGAGTTCAAACCCCACAACCAACAAAAAGACGAAAAATAAAAATAAAATAAAGTGGACAACATATAACGCTTTACAACATGCTTCTTCCAAATTTTCTGTTGAAATTTTTTGGGGAAGAAAATTATTTTTGCCAGGCACTGGTGGCTATAATTCTAGCTACACAGGAGGCTGAGATCTGAGGATTGCGGTTCAAAGCCGGCCCGAGCAGTCCCAGAGACTCTTATCTCCAATTAACCACCTGAAAACTGGAAGTGGTGTTGTGGCTCAAGTGGTAGAATGTTAGCCTTGAGCTGAAGAGGTGAGGGACAGCACCCAGGCCCAGAGTTCAAGCCTCATGAGTGACAAAAAGAATTGATGCCAGTCCTGGGGCTTGTACTCAAGACCTGGGCACTGTCCTTGAGCACCACCTCTCAAGGCTAGTACTCTACAATGGAGTCACAGTTCCACTTCTCCCCCAATCCTGGGGCTTTAACTTAGGGCCTGGCCTGTGCACTGCCCTTGAGTTTCTTTTGCTCAGTGCTAGTACTCTACCAGTTGAGCCACATCACCACTTTCGGCTTTTTCTGTTTCTGTGGTACTGAGGAAATGAACCCAGGTCTTCATGCATGCTAGGTAATAAGCACTCTACCACTCAGCCACATTCCCAGCCCTCATTTCTGGCTTCTTTAGTAGTTAATTGGCATTTCATGGACTTTCCTACCTGGGCTGACTTTGAACTCTGATCCTCAGGGGTTGGGAAGGTGGCTCAGTGGTAGAGCGCTTGCCTTGCATGCCTGAGGCCCTGGTTCGATTCCTCAGCACCACGTAAGCAAAAAGAAAAAAGCTGGAAGTGGTGCTGTGGCTCAAGTGGTAGAGCACTAGCTTGAGCTGAAGAGCTGAGGGACAGCGCCAGGCCCAGAGTTCAGGCACCACGACCGGACCCCCCCCCCCAAAAAAAAAGAACTCTGATCCTCAGATCTCAGCCTCCTGAGTAGCTAGGATCACTGGTGTGAGACACCAAGAGCACTTGGCTGGTTTTTTTGCTGTTCTTGTTTTGTTTTTTTGTTTTACTGGTCAGTCATGGGGCTTGAACTCTGGACCTGGGCACTGTCCCTCAGCTCTTCAGCTCAAGGCTAACACTCTGTCACCTGAACCACAGCACTACTTCCCGTTTTCTGAGTTGTTTATTGAAGATAAGACTCTCAGCAACTTGCCCTGGCTGGCTTTGAATCTCGATCCTCAGATCTCAGCCTCCTGAGTAGGTAGGATTACAGACATGAGCCACTGGCGCCCGGCTTGGCTGTTTTTGTGTATTCATTTATTTTTATGGTTTGAAGTCAGGGCCAGGGCACTGTCCCTGAGCTCTTTGTTCCAGGCTAGCGCTCTATAGCTCTATATCACTTTGAGCCACAGCTCCACTTGTTTTTGTTTTTTAAATGTTGAAATCCTAGTTAGGAGCCAGTAGATCATGCTCGTAATCCTACTCAGGAGGATGAGATCTAAGGATTGCAGTTCAAAGCCAGCCAGGGCAGGAACGTCTGTGAGACTCTCATCTCCAATTAACCACCAGAAAACCAGAAGTGGCGCTGTAGCTCAAGTGGTAGAGTGCTCGCCTTGAGCTGAACAGCTGAGGGACAGAGCCCAGGCCCAGAATTCAAGCCCTACAACCGACTCACCTACCAATAAATAAATAAATATATGTTGTAATCTGAACTACAAAAGAGGCTGAGATTTGAGGATCATGATTCGAAGTCAGCCTGGGCAGGAGAGTTGTGAGATTCTTTCTTCCCAGTCCCAGTTGTGAGATTCTTAGCTCCACTAAACCACAAAAAAAAAGGAAGTAGACCTGTGACTCAAGTGGTAGAGTGCTAGCCCTGCATAAAAGAAACTCAGGATAGCACAGTACCCAGGCAGGTCCTGAGTTCAAGCCCCTGGACTGGGGGGGAAATGTTGCTACTGATATAACCTAGTCCCTTTCCTGCCACTGAGCTATATCCTCAGAACATGGTTATTTTTTATACTTAAGTGTTCTTGCGTCTGACTTGGAGTTTTTCATTTTTTTTAAGGGGAGGGCAGGAGGGCAGAAGAGATGGTAGGTATAGTGAGGAAAGGGGAAAGAATAAGAGAGAAACTAGGAAGGAGGGAGAACAGAGATTAGAGGGCTAGAAGAGGGGTTGGGAAGTAGGGAATGGGACAGAGGAGGAGGTGAGGGAGAAGAATATTCAATGAAGGGATTGGGAGAAGAGGTGAGTGGGAAGTCAAAGGTTTAGTATCCATAGCCAGAAAAACAGAAGTTTACAGGTAAGGATATTGATCCAGTTGCAATTAAACAGCTAAAGGCGATTCAGCTGACTTGACACCTCCAAATCCAAAACTACACTTTCGCTAAAAAAAAAATAAAATATTAACAAATACGAGATAGCTAATACATAATGCATAGAGTCTGAATAGTAAATTAGGAGCATTTAATAAACAAACAGATTGTCCGAATCAGAAAAGGTGTGGTTTCAGGAAAACAGAAAACACCTCCCCTAAACACACACACAGTATCTTTGAGAATATCTACCTCACCTACATATTAAATGAGAAAAAAAATGGGAGAAGTAACACGTTTTCGCTGGCTTTTTCAAACTTGGAAGACAGGAGACTGGCCACTGTACAGTTATCTGAGAGACCAACAGCGCCTCACTGGACAGCCTACAGCAGCTGCTCGGGACTCCCTCCCCCCAACTCCCTCACAGACAACTGAATCACAACACTGCTGCCACACAGGCTCCGGTTGGGGGTTGGTAGTTGGGGGTTGGGAGCAGCGTGCCTGAAAGCCTTGGCGGGTTGGAGGCCAGCCAGCTGGGTTTGACTAGGCCTCCAGCAGGACTACATTTCCCAAGGGGCCCCGCGGCTGCTGTCCCGCCCCCTCTACTGGAAGTACAGCCCGGAACTTCCATTCCGACTTTTGGGGGGGGGGGGGGGGGGGGGGGGGATGGGGATGGGGATGTGAGGTAATGGCATGCACATAGGTTTACACGGATGTTAGGGAAACCTAGCATTTCTAGCATTTCCGGACCAACCACATGGCGGCCACGTCCGCTACTTCCTCGTGTTCGTGGCTGCACCCCAGGACTCCATATTACGGAGAGGCTTTAAAACTTTTACAGTTTCTTTTTTTTTCTTTTCTTTTTTTTTTTTTGGGGGGGTGGGGGTCCAGTCGTGGGGCCTGAACTCTGGGTCTGGGCACTGTCCCTCAGCTCTTCAGCTCAAGGCTAGTGCTCTACCACTGACCACCTTCCCAGCCCCTACTTTTACAGTTTCTTAGCTGATACCGGTGGCTCATTCCTGTAATCCTAGCTACTTAGGAGGCTGACATCTGAGGATCGCGGTTCAAAGCCAGCCCTGGCAGGAAGGTCCGTGAGACTCATCTCCAATTAAACACCAGAAAAACAGAAGTGGAATCATGTAGCTCAAAGTGACAGAGCCGTAACTTTGAGCAAAAAGAGCTCAGGGACAGTACCTGGGCAAGCCCAGGACCAAGAAAAAAACAAACAAGACACAAACACATACAACCAAACCTTTAC